TAAAATTTACGACGTAGTGTCAGCTGAGAAAAAGAAAGGTTGAAAAATGTTTTATATCAGATTCTGACCATCATTAATGTTAAGATATTATAAAATTTACGACGTAGTGTCAGCTGAGAAAAAGAAAGGTTGAAAAATGTTTTATATCAGATTCTGACCATCATTAATGTTAAGATATTATTATCATTAATTTAAAAAAAAGAAGCATTCAAATACAATAACATTAATCCCGAGTAAATGTGCTACACACTTGTTATTAAATGAAAATTTGAATATAAATAAATATGAATAAGGATTTTATGGATTCAATAAACTTTTTGAGACTTTTGACATCGTTTTTTCTTTATATTTTCAAAATTAGTTTTGCGCGTGCCTTTTTTTGAAATTATAACTAATATCAAAAAATTTTTCCAGTGAACAAGCGATGTGTCTTTGGCATTTGATCTATCTTATATTTAATCTTAGGTATTGAAATTTAATTTTAAATTGATTACAGTTTGTATAAATTTAGTAAAATTTGTTATAAAGTTTCAAAATATTTCAGTGGTCAGGCGATTCATCATCGGTATTGTTTGGTTTGATAGATGGCGAAATACATACGTACGACGCGACAGGCGTATTTATGTATAAGCTACGTATGGCTTGCATAGAAAATGTCGAATTAGAAACAGCCTTAAATAGTAAGCTATTCCTAATTTACGACCAATTTAGAATTTTGTCAACTACAAGCTTCTTTTCTATGTGCAAATACCATTGTCATCGATGAAATAATCGTGAGATGATTAATTGAAGTTTTATTTCAGAGGATTTGCGCCGTGTTACAATTGCTTCTATGGAATGGTTTATCCCACTATCTCAATCAAGTGAATATTCAGACAATTATCAGGCTAGTTTTGGCTAATCTGAAATTGACAATATTTGTAAATTTCATAATTTTTGAAATGATTGAATATATTTTGCAAATAAATATGAAGAAAAACAATCCGAAAATGTTACCATTTGACCATTTTTTAAAAATTTTTCTGTCTTGCTTTTTTTGTAGCTTCAATTGCAGCAATGTAATAACTTCAAAAATCATTAGATTTATTGATTATTGAATTTCCGGTATTACGACGGTGTTATATTCCGGATGACCGACCGCGATTTCTCGTAGCATACAATCATGGCATTGTACAATTGATGAGGCATGAAAATGATTCAAGTAAGTATTGCAATGAAAATGAAATGTAAGTACAGCAAAATTCAAGACAAGCATCCTCTTACGCTTCATCCTAATAATAATTATTGATTTCTGCAGATCCGGTCATCATTAAACTACCAAATATGATTCTTAGCAAAGCTCGATGGTCACCAGATGGCTCAATGCTTGCAATTTGTGGTGTACAAACAGATTCGGAAGATGAGAAATGTATGATACATTTTGCAACTGCCTATGGCGAGGTGAACTAATTTTGCTATTTCACTATTTCAACTAATTTTGCTATTTTGCTATTCGTATATTTTGTTTTTGGAGATTTTTCGTTAATATCAAATTTAAAATCTGAATATTTATTGATTCACCCACCTTCCTGTTTCTGATGAAATTTCGCTTTAAAAGTATATTTTTGAAAGGAAATTGCTTTCTTTTTTTCTGAAAAACTTATTCAGCAAAAAAAGCATATAAAACTTTATAAAGACTATTTTATCCCTCTGTCCCTCATTTTCCTAATTTTCCATGTCACCCGATACTTTTATATAATTTCAAATTTTAGCCTTTAAGAAATTTGTCAATACCGGGACAAACAATTGCGGATATATCTTGGGAAGGTGATGGTTTACGGCTTTGTGCAGCAGTAGATAGCCATTTATTCTTTGTTAATATTCGACCGGATTACAAAGTAAGCATTGTAAATATTCCGGAGAATTATGAAACAATGCATGGAGAAGAGTACGGCAGTCAACAAGTTATTAGCCGGATTAGTTGTTCAAATTGATATAAGCACTTACCAAAGACTTAATCTACAACTTTATTTGGTGAAACTATTTTTTGATCTCTTTAAAATGTTGTCCAAAGTATCGAGCCAATTTATTGATTTTAAAACGGCATGTGTTATACTATTATTTTCAATGGTATTTGAAGTAATTTTTGAATTGCTTCAAAATTTTTCAGTGGGCCTATTGCGGTCAAACGGTGATTTATTCATACGAAAAAGTGGAGAGCAAAGAACATTTTGTGGTATTTTTTCAAACAAAACTTGAAGAAGCTTATTTGCAATGTGTAAAACCGATAGTCGCATTAGCTGCTTCCAACGAACATTGCATTCTGATATCACGTGTAGAGAATCAAATTGGCCAGGTTTCTTATTTATCACTGCTGTCACTGATATCACGTAACTCTCATCCATTATAACTCATCATAAGCGCTTATGTAATCCCTAGCGCTTACGAGAAAATTCTTAGATATTTGGACGGTTTCACGAATTTGACGTATAGTACATAAACAGTAAGAAAATGCCCGATGAAAAAAAGCGAATTGTTAAGAGACAATGTTAAGTAATTCGTGCTCAAATAAGAATTATTATTAAAATGAACGTAATTTATTTCTCAGTATCTCATGCAAATTTGCAATGGTATCGGAACAACAATTGATTCCAAATACATCAATTTGGAACCAAAATATGTCGTGATGAATGATTCTGAAGTTGTGATCGCAAACAATTTATCATTTACTATTTGGCAGTACAATATTCCATGTGCTACAAGTCGAGAAGTTAATCTTAGTGTTGATTCAAGTTCAAGCGACCAAAAGTGAATATTTCATTTTTATAATATTTCGTTTTCAGAACTGGCAAATTCTATCCCCTTAATACTTTAATAGTTATTACGATGAATGTTCAGCGGTAATATTTCTGTTAATACTTATTCCATCCCTATCTGAATAGATCACGAAATATTGGTGAAATTTCAGGTTGTATTATGTTGACGAAAATGATGAAATCGATGTAACTTCATCTAATATTATAAGAGGACGATCACAAGTACTGAAATTTATGCATTGGATAAAAAAATATTTAATGGTTTAACGCATTTTACCCGTTATTCACATGTTAATGATTAAGTGAATTATAATTAAGCAGCGCCGGGAAAGCTAATAACAGTAGTAAGAAGAAAACACGATGAATTGGTAAGCAGTGACAAGAATGAGTTATACAATAAACAATCAATATGATCATCTTTGATCAAAAACGATCTTCAACTAACAAGTCTCTTTTCGTTGCCATCGATAATAGTTGTTTGTCGCCTTGTTAATAGGGTGCTAATAATTGACATATAGGAATTCGTCCTTCGTTGAAGTGGGGATATGCTACAGGAAAAGTATCAAATT